AAAAAAAAAAAAAACGGTTGGCCAGCCAAGTATAATTTAACAAAACTCATGGCCAGCCAAGTCTAACTCCTTTTACTGCCATGATACTTATTTATTTTATTTTTTGTTGCTAGTGTCCTGGGTGGATTTTCTCTTCAGAGAAACGTTAAACCATTCTTTTTAAATGATATATTTTTATTGGTACAAACAATGAGTACAGTGAAGGTGCAGAAGACGAGCATTGTCCGCATAATTCAAAATAGTTCAGAAGGCTGAATGCATGCAATTCAGATATGATAAAGAATGTTTGATCCAGACCTCTGTGGGGGGCAATAGAGAGAGTCAATTGCCACCCCACACTTTTCGACACAATAAAAGAGGCAAGAGAGCCAGGAGAGGAGGTGTCGCGTACCTGAGCGGAGACCGAATGGATGAGGGGGGCTTCCCTTGCGCCTCTTGTCCAACACCCCTTGGAAGTGGGAACAGGGAGTGTGTGAGTAGCACAAGTGCTGATGAAGCAACCCTCTGTGTATTTTTCATTGTTTTTCCTTGACTGTTAGCATTGTGTTGCCCCCTGCTCAGGTGGACTGCTTTAGGACATCCCAATGTTCCTGATTCTATTAACCCTGCATCTCTTGATGAACGGTTAAGAAAACAGGCTTTATGTACGCATGGTAGAATCCTCTTATTAGATTTCATCAAGAGACACAGCCTCCTCACTTTGTTTATGATCTGCTCTTAATATTGGTTTTCTGTGCTTGGCTCTCCAGTGGCTTTTTATTATTTTTTTGCCAGTGTCCAATTCCTCCTAAAAGCGGCTGTATAACCCAATGTTTCTCATTTTATTGACTTTGTGTCCCTTTATGAATTCAAAGAAAAGGGTTTTTACGGGGAAACGAAAATCTTGTCCAGCACAACGTAGTACATGAAAACACATACAGTATGCTGTAATTGAGCCCTTAAAATTTTATTGTGTAATTAACCTGAACGATTTTTTATGCATACATTTTGAAACAAATTAATGGTTGTACTTTGGTGTTTTCTTGATGCAATATTATCCTGTCTTTTTCAGTCTGTTAATTTTAAAAGTTCCAGCTATAATGGGTCTGTTTTTGTTAAAGGACATGAACAAGCTTGGGGAAGCTTTAGTTTATTTCCAACGGGCAGCAGAGTTGCAAACACAGGTTCCTATTGAGTGCCTGCTATCTCTGGGATATGTGGCATCTTGTAAAATATTGACACGTAAGTAACAATCTTGTTTTCTTGCTAGTAAAGCATACTAGTGCATGCCGGCAAAAGAAAATATTTATTCATTCAATGTTTATGTTGATGACACCCAAATCTATCTGTCCACTCCTCAGCTCACGCTCGCCGATATCTCAGCATGGATGTCGCAGTACTATCTTAAACTCAGTCTGTCCAAAATTGAGCTTATAATATTCCCTCCTCTCCGTGTTCACTCCCTCGACTTCTCCATCACAATCAATAGCACTACAATCAACCCCTCCCATCAAGCCAGGGTACTCGGTATAATCCTTGACTCTGAGTTCTCCTTTCAGCCCCACATCCAATTTAATCTTGCCGACTCAACCTTTTGTAACATTTCTAAAATTCGCTTTTCAACAAATGAAACCACAAAGCTTCTAATTCACTCCCTTGTAATCTCTCACCTCGACTACTCTAACTCCCTCCTGGTTGGCCCTACCACTAAGCAGGCTAACCTCCCCTTCAGTCTATCATGAATGCTGCTGCCAGACTCATCCACCTTGCCAACCGTTCAGTGTCTGAAACTCTATTGTGTTGTAAATTTTATTGCAAATCTGCCGTCTCCCTCATTTTGTAAAGCACTGCACAAACTGTTGGTTCTATATAAATCCTGTAAAATAACAATAATTTGCTTTTTTAGGGCTTGACAAATTCCTTTACGGATTAGTTGTATGGCCCAGATATTTTTTTTTCTGTTTTGTTAAATTGCACTATTTGCTGCAGTGTACATAAACTGTATCTGCATGAAATTGGTTTGTGGTTTCTGAATCATTTAAAATGTCAGTTAACTTTTATATTTTTTTCAGCTGATAGATCTATGTTGTTATAAAGTGATTGTCACTAAAATGAAACGCTAGTAAAATAAAGTGGCCCATGCAGAGAATACATTAAATACCTATTCTGCTGTCTTGTCGCCAATCTGCAATAGTGAAGGGAACCGCCATCTGAAGATCCTGTAGAATTTGACACTTCGTGGGAATGTTGATTTCCAGGTCACCTGCTGTGTGCTGTGGTTCCTCCCGCTGCCCCTACATTGCTACAGAACACAGTAGTGACACAGGGCTGGCAGATTGGTATAGCAGGGACTAGGCATCCAACACTGCAGAAAGCATTGGATTCTGAAGAGTCTTCAGCTGGCACATTCTCTTCACTATTGCAGGAGAGGTGACTATTCAATGTCTTTTTTGCAGTGGCCACGTTATGTTCAGTTTTATTTTAATGACATTCACTTTACAGCTGAACTCCAGGCACTCCAAACACAGATGAGATACATATATGGGAGCAGTTTTACCTAAGCTGCACAGCCTTGTCTGGAAGGTTAGGGGATCTTATCTTTTCCTGTTGCAGTTTCACATACATGTCCCACCTCCACCAAGTGACTGGACAGTGAAGGGAGAAACAGCAGATTGATGAGCTCTATCTCTCCGTTACTTTGCTCTCTCCTATCAGCATGCGCAATGCACTCCTAATTGGCTCCTTGTGCTGCTTTGTCTTGTGGTGCTTTGTCTTAAGGTGCCCATACACCTTACAATTATCTGCAGATTTTCTGTGGTCAGATGGAAAAAGTGCAACAGATTGGCCCAGGTGGAGATTACAGTTAAGTGTAGATGGAGGAATCTGGTGCACCTTTTCCATCTGACTACAGAAAATCTGCAGATAATTGTAAGGTGTATGGCCAGCTTTAGTTGTGCTGTACAGGGACTGTAGGAGGCTAATATGAGGTCAAATTTAGGAAATGACACCCCATGCATTAAAAAAAATATAGAAGTAATAATGATTAATGAGCTACATTAGTTTGTACCTTTTTTAAATGTGTCTGTTGCTCAGCTTCATCGGAAACCTTTCTTTGGAGACACACAGGCTGCCATTGCCCTCTCATTCTACAAATGCTAGTTTCCTGGTGGTCATATTTACTCCCATGCTTCAATACTTTGTGTACCTTAAACAAGCATGCAGATAAAGTTGTATGCGTTTACAGATATGCATACTAGTTCCAGGTCAGAGACTCAAACCTTGTTGAACCCTTTTTGCAGTAGGCATCATTTCCTTTATTTCTTCCCATCATAAAATTTGCTTAGCACATAAATGTCTTCAGTAATCTGTTTCATTGAATGGAATTTCCCTTTATTCCGTGCAGGTGATTATGATGGAGCTCTTGCAGTATTCACAGAGATGCAGCTGTTGGCTCAAGAGAAGGGTCTTCCTGCACCAGGAAGCAGTCTGCCAGTGGGTAAGGATTTACGAAATGAATTAAAATGTCTAATATGATAGATACAATTATTTTTTTTAAATGATAAAAGGTTTTCAGCCTGACAAATTCTACTGTGGTACGTGCATTATGGTGCCATTCATTTCAATGGAACCCCAAACACGCCTCCTGCCCGCAGTGCGATGGCCTGCATTGGAACAGGCAGTACTGCAATGCCCTGCATTCCAGTGAAGTGCGATTTGCAAAATATTGTGCATGCAGTTTTTTTCTGAAGTAAACTTTGTTTGTACACTCTATTTGTGTATTTCATTTAAAATTGAAGATGGTGTGTTTTTTTTTTTAATACGATTAATCGAAAAAATAATCGGCCAACTAATCGATTTTGAAAATAATGGTTCGTTGCAGCCCTACTATTTATCAGGCAAAAATGCGCAGAAGACACACCCATGTGTATCTCGCCATACCACCATGGGAAGGCATCTATTATTGAAAGAAATATACACTTTAAACTCTTTTTTTGAATTAATCTCTCTCTTTAATTTTATTCGCACTAATAATGATGGAGCAGTGGTCTAACATGAGCTTTTATTAAGGAAATTCAACTTACCGTGTCACCTCTCAACCTCTTGTTTTCTGAACAACAACAAAGAAGCATCATTACTTCTGTCCAGTTTGTATGAAAGTTATCCAGTAAATAATAAACGTATGCAGGAGGTAGTATAGTAATCCTTCTGGGTCTGCCGTGTGGCAGAGATGTGTACAAATCCTTTGACAAGTGAAACAGTATGCATAACTGTACATGTATTTCAACTGTGTATTCAACCTAAACTTAACTATAAAACCCTGAATCTAACCATTAAACTTAACCCTAAAACCCTGACCATAACCATTATCACTTGGTACTATCTCAGTAATGCCTTTTATTGCCTGATTATTCATTCTATTACTAGTTGCTGCAAGCACAAAACAATCTGAGCCATATGCAGTATGCACTAAACACCATGGATGGGGGGGGACTCCAGCCTAGGTGACTTGGAAAGTACTGCAACCTGTGATTTAACACAAACAGTGCTTTCCTGAAGCGGTTATACCAAGATAACAGCTGCCGAAGTGGTTTTTTTTTTGCAGCTGATGGCTGTCACATACAAGGGTTCGGTCGGCTATAGAGCCGCCCGTTCGCTGGTATGGAGCTGGGGAGTGTGTACTCCCCTCTCCACTGTGTGCGCAAAACGTAAGAAATTGCTGTGGGCGGGAAGTGGTTAAACAACTACAATAATGTATTTAACAATCTACACATTTTTGCTCTGGCATAACTGCAGCTATGTTGTGTAGTTTGAATAAGGCGTTTAAAACAGATGCATTTGAGCAATACTATTCCATTAAATGTAGTATGGTAAATGTTCTAGTTCTGCTGTTTTAAGGTGTTTTCAAGGAAATGCTTTATATATGCAAACATCTGAAATAACATATACAGTGATAATGCAGTACAGGACGAAAGTGTCACATTGGTGTGAAATCAGTATTCAGTCGTTATTTTACCACCACCTTAAAGGATCATTAAACACTTGCATGTTTTTGCATATACCTACTAGCACACACACAAAAAAAATGTTTAAACTTAAATGTGTCTCTCCGCTGCACGTTCCCGCCCAAAGATCTGAAAATCTCTTGAGCAGCCACAAAAGATCATGGGGCGGGCGCATATGCAGTACAGATCTTCGGCCGGGAGAAGAGGAGAGACGCAGGGTAAGTCAATGCAGGTAGCGTGCAACGGCACAGACTACGTGGGACAGGAAGAGACGGCAGTCAGCGCTGGATCAGAGACCAGCACCAGCGCTGGAGGGACTCCTGAAAACTACTGCAAAGAAGATGATGATTGGATCAAAAGGTATCATTTAAGGTAAATCCTTAAAGCAGCATTGGGGGATGGGGGTGGGGGGATTTTGACCTTAATGTCACTTTAAACTGCTCCTTTTTTAGCTCTCTCCTTGGTAATACCTAATTTAAATTTTAGATACAAAATATCACAGAAATTGTCCTAACACATGTAGAAATGTCACCATATGTGAAATTGAGTGATAAAATTGTGTGATGAAACGTTTATAGTGAATTGATAAAGAACATTTTGTAGAAGATATGATCAAATAACACACACAATTAAAAATAACGCATGCATTAGGCTTTTATGAACTGGGGTTTTATGTATTTTGATAACAATATTTTGCATTGCAGGAGCATTTTTGGACATTATAGCAAAATGTGAAGTATCGCGTGTCCTCCTCCTCATGCTATTGCAGGTAAGCAGGAAATGCTGTATTGATAATCTTTGCATTTCTTGGTCCCAGAACATGGGAGAAGAATTTGGTGGAATTGGATCTGATCAAGACTTATAGGAAAATTTGTAGATTTAGAATGATTGCTGGATTTGGCTAAAAATAACATCATGTCTGCATATGACCACACTATTGTTTTCACTGTCTCCCCCAATCCTACAATGCTAATTTATTTAAAATGTAAATGTTGTTTTCTTATGCCACATCTGAAATAGAGTAATATTTCTTAATTAAGGATCCTTTCTTTTTTCAGCCTCCCCCTCAAAAGCTACTACCTGAGCATGCACAAACTTTAGAGAAGTACGACTGGGAAGCCTTTGACAGTCACAACCATGGTGAGACACCCCCCTCCCGTTTTGGCTTGTACATAGATGCGTACAAGTGGCCACATTTTAGCTGATCCTCTCTCATTGCCCTTTCTGGTGCCATTATATTTCTGGGTGTGAGCTTAAGGTGGAATCCTCCAGTGATATTAGCCCAAACCATAAGAGATGGCTGATTGCTTAGTATGAAGTACTGAGACTATAGCTTTGAGCAGTAGAGAAAAGGTTACTTTCCAGAACATTTATTGGACAGAACTGAAACAAGTACATAGACGAGAAAAAAAAATTCAGCCTGGGGTAGCATCAGTGCAATCTGCTGATGTGCTGTAACAGTTGATGTAAACTTAATGCTCTGGAACTTGACAAATACTTTGTGTGGATTCTTATTTCTTGTCCTAATTAATCTGCCTCCTTTTTGATTTTGAGCTTTTAAAAGTATAATTTCCAGAAAACGTGATGTGCTGTTGGGGTATGTACTGTCATTTCAATAAACCCTATCTCCAGGAAAAATTGCTCCCATTACAGTGGGACTACCCTCGTACTGCAAGGGTTAACTGCTTGTTAATGTCTAGGAGACCTGTGTAAAATACTTTTGCCTACCTGATCAGTGTGGGATCAGATTAATAGAAGTCCTTTACACAGGTCCCCTTAGACATTAAAGGAGAACTATGAGGTGAGTGAAAATCACTCATCCTCATAGTTCGAGCCGATGTGTGACAAACTGTCACACATCGGCTCAATAGATCGGGAAGAGAGCGACCACATACCGTCGCTCGCTCACTTCTCGATCATCTCCCTGCAGAGATTCCCCCGCTCCGACCCTCCAGCGCTGACTGGAGGAATGGACAGGGGAGAGTGCGGGTACAGCGGGCTCTGCCTGTAGATAGGTAATGTTGGGATCCGCTGCGGCAGCTTGCGATATACTGAGCTGTGGGTCACGGGAGGACGCCAGTATATGTCCTCCCGTGACCCTTAAGAGAACTATGGGGAAAACACTTACCCCATGGTTCTCTTTTAATGAGTAGGTCATTCTTGCAGTCTTGGGGTAGCATCAACTTCAAGGGCAGTTTTTTTCCCCAAAGACAGGCTTTAATTACCTGTTCACACTACCTGTGTTGCAGAAGTGTACGATTAACATATTTGTGCACCTTTCATTTTCAATGTGTGCTGTGTTGCAAAAAAAATGCTCATTTTCGTGCGTTAAGCCTACTAGTTTTGACTGGTCTGTCTATTGCAGCGCGTCTCGATGCAGGCAAACGTGTGCTGTAGCACACTATGTTCAGGTGTTAATGGGCCCAAAAGATTCAGGCACTGTCAACATAACCGCTTTAATGCAGCTAATAAAGCTTCGACCCACCCCCGCGTTCCCTTTTTTTTTGGTATAGCTTATCATATTGATGGAACACTAAAGAGTCCCAAGAGGGGGTCAGGAGATGGATTTTCTAAAGTAAGTTGAAATATACATAAAGGGGCCCTTTTGGGTTTTGGGGCTGCTTGAGCAACTAAGAAATATGCTGCAGGTATGGTATGCTTGCTTTCAACTCCCAGTTTAAGCAGTTTAGCATCATGACAGGTTTACGTTACAAAAATGTAACTATTAATGTATGTCATATCTTTTCTGTACAATAAAAGCTTTATTCTAAGAGAGGGTTTGGGGCATTTCATATACTTTGAGGGTCATAACGCTAAGTTCTCTTAAGTACATTAAAGTGTTTAGCTTCCATGTCCTTGTTTTAGTCTGTGATTAGCATAGAGGTGACTGCATACCGTGGGAGGAGTGTTTTGGCTCAGATTAGTTATGTGTTGCCTTTACTTGTCTAGCTTGTAATTATAGGATAGTCACCACTAGCATTTTGTCTCATTAATAAGGTGTGCTATGATATGTGTTGAAAGGTGTAAGAAAAGTATTACTGATAATATGCACGTAAATGTAATACAAATATTATCCGTGGTAAAGTTTCTTGCAGCTTTTAGAGTGGTTGTTTCACAAAAGAAAAAGACACAACTGTATAAAAAAAAAATACTGTGCAAAGATATAAATGTAGGCACAAAAAAAGCAGAGGAATGAAGAATTGTTTTAATGAGCTGTAAGGCCCCTTTCACAGAGGTGGTCCAATCGGGTCGGCCTGTCAGTTTATCAAGCGGACTCGAACGGATGCCCAGTGTTAGTATATTGGCAGCCTGTATAAACGGACAGGTGTCCGTTTACATCTGGTTACCCCCAACTCTGGCCAGGTCCGGAAAAACAAACGAATCGGAGATCCGTTTCGATGGACATTCTAGTGCTGGATCAGGGGTAATTTTATGTAAATGGACACGTGCGTTTACCTCCGATTCCCTATAGACCGACATAGGGTCTGGTTATTTCAGTTTTGATGGAGGAAAACACTGGCTGGACACGGATGTCACAGCAGTGACATCCACTCCGCAC